TCACCTTTGCATGCTGTCTCTGGGAGTGGAAATGGATCCAGACTCCTTGAAGGTGCCACTCAGGAAGATGTCCAGGAAACCTTAAAAATGAGTGAAGGCAAGAGCTCCTGAGTGGTGGGTTGGGATCTGAACACAGCCCCACCTGGTTCTAGCACAGCCCTGGTCCTCATTCTTCTTGGTCCAGCCAGGCACCATGGGATACATCATCCTAAGAAGGGGGAATAAAACCAGAGAGGGTGGAGTTGGGGCCTGGATCCACCCTGATTAATCTCCCATCTAGAGAATACAAAAGGCAATGCCAGGAAGATGTTCCAAAGTCAAATGAACCATCTATAAACTCACGCTTCCTTCTACAGAGCCTGTGGCTTACAAAGCACTTTGGCTGGGCGTATCTCCTCTATTTCCCTAGAGCTCCCCTGACCTGGGGAACACTGCCCTGGTCTCCCTCACTCTACAGACTTCTCCACTTAAAATGGCCAAGCCAGGGGCTGTCTTTTCTGGGGCCTGTCGGGTATTCCTGGGGGAGACCAAGGCTGGGGGTGGGGGTTGATGGTGGAGGTGCAGGGTGCCCTGAACTGCGAGTCACACTGTAGGCTCCTCGGCAGCCGGAAGAGGGCTCAAAATACAGTAAGAATAAATAAAACTCAGGCTTCCTTTCTCTCTCTCTGTCTCTCTCTTTTGGAGACAGGGTCTTGTTCTGTTGCCCAGGCTGGAGTGCAGTGGCATAATCTCGGCTTGTTGTGGCCATGACCTCCCATGCTCAAGCAATCCTCTCACCCCAGCCTCCCGAGTAGCTGGGACCACAGGCACATACCACCACGCCTTGCTAATTTTTTCTATTTTTTATAGAGACGGGGTCTCACTATGTTGCCCAGGCTGGTCTTGAACTCCTGGCCTCAACCAATCCTCCTGCCTTGGTGTCCCAAAGTGCTGTGGCGTGAGCCACACTGCACTTGACAGCCTTCCTTTTTTTATTTCCTCTTTTTATCAAACCAATACAGGCAAGTGATTTTTTAAAAAATCAGATTTTTAAAAAACCTAACACTACAAAGAGGTTTATAAAGAAAAGGATTCCCTCCTGCTCTGCCTCTCTCATCCCCCGAGGTAACCTCTTTTGACAGTTTCCATTTTAAATGATTATGGTGGTCACCTCCTCGTGTCCAAATAATATGGCTATCGTGCTGTTGCTTGATTTATGGACCTTAGAAACAGTCCACCGATTTCCTGCTGTGGTCGATGAGGACTCAGCTCATCAGCACTGCCACTCCCAGCCCCAGTTCAGTTTCCGAGTCTACCTCTAGTTCCTCTGCTGTTTACTTGCTAACTTGGAATTCCATCAGAGACCTGGCCTGAGGCCATCACCTGTGGGCAGCGTCCGCTCTCCTCCCTGGGGATGGAGGGTGCCACCCTTCCTGGACCCTGCCGTGGTTTCCTCAGCTCCTTTCCACTTTTCTCTGCCAAGGTCGGAAGTTTTCTCATCCTGCTCTGCAAGGCAACTGCCTCCATGCCTGGTGGGCAGAGTGGGTCTTTCCACTCCACAGCGTGCACTGCAGTGTTCGCAGCGGGTCCTGCACGGCCGGGCGCATCCTCCCCGTGTCCCCAGCCGTGCACTGGACATGCTCAAGTCACACTGGCCTGGACCCTTCCTGATGCGCCACCGCCGTGGAGGGTCCAAACCACTTCTGGCTTTAGATGGCTTTCTGCTTGGGCCACGCCTTTCTCATGCGCACCCCTCTTTGTGGGGAGAAGCAGGTGTGGCCCTAACGTGCCCCTGCGCCACCCTGACTTTAGGTCCTGAAATCTATCCAGGCTTCTCCTCAAAGCTCACAGCAGCATCTTCATATCTGGACCAAAACTTACTGGCGCAGACTTTTGTTGTTTCTGGGTTTCTAATGGCTTTTTTTTTTTTTTTTGCTGCTGCCTCTTGGGTTGTGCCCCGGAGTCCTGTCACCTCATGTACTTCGGCTTTCGGGTTCAGGCTGAGGCTCCTGTTGGACCGGGGGTGACTCTTGTCTGCCCACGTGGGTGGCAAGTGAGGAGGAGCAGCATGGTCGGCTTTGGGTTCAGGCTGAGGCTCCTGTTGGACCGGGGCGACCTTGTCTGCCCACGTGGGTGGCAGTGGAGGAGGAGCAGCATGGAGCTTGGCTCTGGTCAAAGCCCGATCTTCAGGCAGTGGCTAAGCCCTGGTGCAGGGCCGCCCATGCCACCAACTCCTGGGCATGCCTTCCTCCACTTCCAGCGGAAGCTGGTCCGCTTATGGCCGCTGGGCCGCCAAACCTGACCCACAGAGCCAAGAGCCCGTGCTGCGCCCGCTGTGCCCTGAGCTGTCCAGAGGCCCAGCTCCTCCTACACCAAAGTGTCCTCCACAGCCTAGGAAAGCACTTCCACACATGCTCACACAATACACACCACGCCAATCCACACATCACACACTCACCAATCCTGCATACATACCACACAGCAGCACACTCAATCCACACACACTACACTCAACTCACACAATTTGAAGTACGTGTGCTACGCTACACTCAACCCACACTTCCCCACACCATACACACAACACTCACACCTCACATCACACAGCAGGCTCAATCCACACACCACACACACTCACACCGTGTTCAATCCACACACACCACACATCATACACCCCAATCAACCCACATGCACCACACATCACACGCTACACTCAATCCATACATACCACACAGCACACTCAATCCACACACACCATGCACGCACACCACACCTCCAACCTTTCACACCCCCACACACCATACAATAACACTCACACCTCACATCACACAGCAGGCCTGAATCCACACACCACACACACTCACACCGTGTTCAATCCACACACACCACACATCATACACCTCAACTGAACCCACATGCACTATACATCACACGCTAAGGCACTCTAATCCATACATACCACACAGCACACTCAATCCACACACACTACAATGTACACGCCTTGGCCACTCAACCCACACCTCCCCCCCACACACCATACACAACACTCACACTTCACATCACACAGCAGGCTCAATCCACACACCACACACACTCACACTGTGTTCAATCCACACACACCACACATCATACACCTCAATCAATCCACACGCACCACACATCACACACTACACTCAATCCGCACACAGTATGCAGTACACACCACGCTCAGTCCACACAGCAGATGCACATCACACTCAATCCACACGCACCACACACACTCACACCACCTTCAATCCACACACACCACACTCAGTCCACACACACCACATACACTCCCACACCCTCAGCCACACACACCACACTCAAATCCACACACATCAAACACATACAAAGCACACACCACACATTCCTACCACACACCACACATACACACCACGCATACACACACTCACACCACCCTCAAGTCACACACACACCACACACAACACTCATGCCACACACATCATACATAGCACACTCAATTCACACCCACACACATTCACACACCATACACACCCCACACTCAATCCACACTCACTCACACACATACTATACACACACACAAACTACACGGGCACCTCTCCCTGGGCTGGTGGGAGAGGAGGCCCCTCGAAAGGAAGGCAGGCCCCGTGCCCAGGAGCATCCCGTCTGCAGAAGGAGTTCCCCCTGCAGTGGGAGGAGTGAGGCAGCTCGAAGGTGAGGAGGGCGTGGGCACTGCAGGGCAGCAGGGGCAGCCTGTGGACCTGGCAGGAACGGAGACAGCAGGCCCGGACACCGGGTGCAGGGGCTTGGGCTTCATGGAGACCAGTAGGGCTCTCTGGAGGGTCTTGAGCAGGAAAGGGCCGAAGCCAACTCCAGCATTCTTAGAGCTCATCCTGGCTTGGGGTGGAGAATGGGCCTGGCAAGTAAGGGAGCTGCCTAAAGGTACTGCACACTGGGACCGTTGTCCAGGGACCTGGACCTCCCACCGTGGAGCAGTGCACGCTAAGGCCACTGGCCAGGGACCTGGACCACCCACGTGGACAATTGCACTGCTTCCCTCACCCATCCTCTGGTGACACATCCTCTGGCTGCTGTTAGAGATGGAATTTCACTCGGTCAGGACTGGGGCAAACCACTCAGAGGACACAGGGGCCGAGGGAGCCCAGGCAACTTCCTCGATTCGCACCTCTGTATGGGGGATCCAGGTCACTCTGTTTTCTCACCATTTGAGGGGCCGGGTGCAGCCGTGCCACTGTCGACCTGCTTAGAGACCGGTGGCCAGGCGTGGTGGCTCACGCCTGTTATCCCAGCACTCTGGGAGGCCGAGGCAGGTGTATCGCCTGAGGTCAGGAGTTCGAGACCAGCCTGGCCAACATGGTGAAACCCTGTCTCTACTAAAAATACACAAATTAGCTGGGCATGGTAGTAGGCGGCTGTAATCCCAGGTACTTAGGAGGCTGAAGCAGGAGAGTTGCTTGAACCTGGGAGGCGGAGGTTGTAGTGAGCCGAGATCACACCACTGTACTCCAGCCTGGGCGACAGAGCGAGCCTCTGTCTCAAAAAAAAAAAAAAAAAAAAAAAAAATAGAGACAGGGTTTCACCATGTTGGCCAGGCTGGTCTTGAGCTCAGATGATTCGCCCACCTCAGCCTCCCAAAGGGCTGAGATTATAGGTGTGAGCCACCAAGCCTGGCCCCTTTCTAGTCTTCTTAAAATTCAGTTTTCTATCAAGAGCAGTGACCTGACTGTAAATTCCTGTGGTCAGGGACTAAGTCACCTTGGTGTCACCCTGATGTCACCCTGGTGCCCCAGCACCTAGCATGGCACCAAATTGGTTTCTGCAGCATGAATAAGTGAGTATGGCACTTACAATGGAAAAAAACCCAAAAGACTTTATTTAATTAAAAACATTAACTTTCTCTGGCAGTCAAGGTTGGAGCTACCCGGGAGAGCTGGGCGTGGCAAACACACAGGCCCGTCTGGAAAGCTCTGCCCACGGGCTCCTGACTCAGGTCTGGCACAGGCAGCTCCAGGTCGGCCTCAGGGCCTGACATCTCCCAGGAAGAATCCAGAACACCCCCGCAGCACCGTCCTCGCCTGCACACTGCCCTGCGCCCTCCCGGCCTGCACTTCTTAGCAAGGTCATGCCCTGAGGTTTCAGAACAAATACAACTTTCAGGACAATTTGACTAGAAAATACAGGCCAAAAATCCACCCTGGGATCTTCGCCGCAGTATAGATTTTGTTGTTTTTGTCCTGAATGAGTCAGTTAACGATTCACATTAATAAGAGATCTGAGCGTGGGAGTATCTGGGAGTCGTAGGGAGAACAGCCACGGGCCAGGGCCATTAGCCAGGGGGCTGCTGGTGCTGGGAGGCCTGGGGCAAGTGGATGGGTGCGCAGGCCAGCTTTGAGGGGGATGGGGTGAACGACTCTGAGCCCAGACCAGACATCTCCCCACCTTGGGCGCTGTCTCATGTACCTGCCACCTTATGGGGTTAACTTTGAATGTCAAAGCCCAGAATTTTCACTCAAGGTTGCCTTCCATCATGTCCCTTCATTTGAGAAGCAGTAAGCAAGGCACCTTTGTGGGACGGGCCCAGGCCACACAGTGGCTCCCCAGGTGTCCTGGTGACAGGTGGGGCAGGAAGGTTGCATCCATGAGGGTTTTCCAGAGATGCAGAACCACCAGGATGTAACACACACAGGGATGGATTGTCAGGAATGGGTTCATGCAGTTGCTGGGGCTGCAAACCCGGAGTCTGCAGGGCAGGCTGCGGCCTGCACACGTCTGCGGGAGTTGTTGTTGCTATTCCGAGGCTGGAGGCGGGTTCCCTCCTCTCCCGAACCGCTGTCTTTCCTCTTCAAGGCCTTTTTTCTTGTTGTTTCGCTTGGCTTTTTCACAATGTTGTAACGTTCCCTCCCTCCCTCCCTCCCTCCCTCCCTCCCTCCCTTCCTTCCTTCCTTCCTTCCTTCCTTCCTTCCTTCCTTCCTTCCTTCCTTCCTTCCTTCCTTCCTTCCTTCTTTCGTCTCACTCTGTCACCAGGCTGGAGTGCCGCAGCGTGATCTTGGCTCACGGCAACCTCCGCCTCCTGGATTTCAGTGATTCTTCTGCCTCAGCCTCCCAAGTATCTGGGACTACAGGCACACACCACCACACCCAGCTAATTTTTGTATTTTTAGTAGAGATGGGGTTTCACTATGTTGGCCAGGATGGTCTCAATCTCTTGACCTCGTGATCCCCCGTCTCGGCCTCCCAAAGTGCTGGGATTACAGGCGTGAGCCACTGCACCCGGCCTCGGAACATACATTTTCTTAGCAGAACTTATTAAGAACATAATTACAACAGAATTTCAACAAATCAATGATGGCATACAAAAGAAAGAAAGGAAAAAATATATATATATATATATATTTTTTAGACAGAATCTCTGTCGCCCAGACAGGAGTGCAATGGCATGATCTTGGCCCATTGCAACCTCTGCCTCCTGGGTTCAAGGGATTCTCCTGCCTCAGCCTCCTGAGTAGCTGGGATTACAGGTGCCCGCCATCATGCTCGGCTAGTTTTTGTGTTTTTGTAGAGACCGGATTTCACCATGTTGGCCAGGCTGGTCTTGAACTCCTGACCTCAGGTGATCAGCCCAGCTTAGCCTCCCAAAGTGCCAGGATTACAGGTGTGAGCCACCACACCCAGCCAAAAATATCTTTTAGAGTACTCATTACTTTCACTTTGTTGGGAAGGTGGGTATTTATATTTAGTAGTTGAGGGAATATCAAATGTTTCTTTTTAATAGATGCTGAGCAGGATAGTTAGTAACCGACATGTTTAATATTCAAAGTTAAAATACTTGAGAACAAGTATTAGGTATAAAGGAAAATGGAATGGAAGTTTCTCCATGTTTGTCTTTCCATAGCCAAAAGAGGCAGAAACTTTTCTTCTGAGTCTCTCAGAAGAAATTCCAGGACGACTAGAAGCCACCGGCACAAAGAGTAAACGTCCAACTCTCAAAACCGTGGCACGGAAGCCCGGGACCCCGTAGAAACTGCAAAATTTGGAGGCCATGGAATTTGTGATAATATTGCCAAGTGAGCTCATCTCAACAATGATACTGGTAATTATATTTCAGTATAGGTTGTTATAACTAATACAAATGAAGAAAACCTGGGAGCCGGGACCGCGGGGGAGGGTGTCCCAGCATTTGCCGCCTGCCGAGCGGTTCAGTTCTCGGCTCCCCGGCAGCTGGCCTTCGGGTCGGGCGTCTTTGTCAGTGACTTCTGCTTCGGTCCTCCTGGTGGGGCCGCTGGCTGGGCTGCACTGCTGTGATCCGTCATCATCTCCTAAAGCTGCATCCTGACTTATCCCCACACTTGCACACTGAGGCGTGCAGCATGCTGATTAATTTGCTTAAGGAATGTAACGAAAATCACAGCGTTATGAAATTTCTTGGTCATTGTAACAATCTTGATTGGGAGATGAGAAAATACCTGAAGAAGGAGTACGTAGAAAAGAGTTCTGGGCCGGGCGTAGTGGCTCACACCTGTAATCCCAGCACTTTGGGAGGCTGAGGCGGGCGGATCACGAGGTCAGGAGATCGAGACCACCCTGGCTAACACGGTGAAACCCCATTTCTACTAAAAACACAAAAAATTAACTGGGTGTGGTGGCGGGTGACTGTAATCCCAGCTACTTGGGAGGCTGAGGCAAGAGAATGGCGTGAACGCGGGAGGTGGAGCTTACAGTGAGCCGAGATCACGCCATTGCACTCCAGCCTGGGCGACAGAGCGAGACTCCCTCTCAAAAAAAAAAAGGAAAAGAAAAGAGTTCTGGGCTGGGTGCGGTGGCTTACGCCTGTAATCCCAGCACTTTGGGTGGCTGAGGCAGGTGGATCATGAGGTCAGGAGATTGAGACCATCCTGGCCAACATGGTGAAAAGCGTTCTCTACTAAAAATAATAATTAAAAAAATTAGCTGGGAGTGGTAGCAGGCACCTGTAATCTCAGCTACTCGGGAGGCTAAGGCAGGAGAATGGCTTGAACCTGGGAGGCAGAAGTTGCATTGAGCTGATATCATGCCACTGCACTCCAGCCTGGGCAACAGAGCAAGAATCTGTTTCAAAAAAAAATTTAAAAAGAGGACCAACAGCAAGGAGTGTACATTGCAATGTGAGATTTTTTAATCCTCCAGAGGAATCCGAAAAATAAATTGTCTTTTCACTGGGTGCCTTGGCTGAGAGAAGACTGAGAGGCTCTGGGTTGTTACCTGAAAGAATTCTGTCTTATTTCGTCTCCAGAATCCTTCGAATGGGAAGTGACCGGTGAGAAACTGAACTGTGGAGAAATATGAAAACTCTGGATTCTGGATATTTGTTGGGCAGAGCGTTTAGTGCCATCTTCCCTTTACCATCAAACCTCACTTCACCATGTTTCTTCCCTTTGCCTACAGCCAGTTAATATCTGAGTAACTTATCTCCCTCAATAAAAGAATTTATTAAAAAAAAAAAATGCTGGGTGCGGCAGCTAACGCCTGTAATCCAATACTTCGGGAGGCTGGGGCAGGCAGATCATGAAGTCAGAAGATCAAGACCAGCCTGGCCAACATGGTGAAATCCCATCTCTACTATAAATACAAAAAATTAGTCAGGCGTGGTGGTGGGCACCTGTAACCCCAGCTACTCGGGAGGCTGAGGCAGGGGAATCGCTTGAACCCAGGAGGCGGAGGTTGCAGTGAGCGAAGATAGCGCCACTGCACTCCAGCCTGGTGACAGAGCGAGACTCCATCTCAAAAAAAAAAAAAAAGAAAGAAAAAGAAAAGAAAACCAAGGAGGAGTTTGAAGAAGGACCTGTAAACCCATGTTATCTGGCATTGTGTGGCAGGCATCAGTCCAAGGCATTCCACTTAGGTGAGCATGCTTGGTTTCAACCAGACCCACACATGCAGAGGTTGGCCTGACGGCATCTGTGACGCTGGCAACCCTTGCTTGGGGTCTTTGGGCTGTTAATGTTAGTGCATGGACAGAAAAAAAGGGCAAGGCTGCAGACCAAAGGGGCTGCTACAGTTTTTGGACTTGGTGAAACTTTATTCCTGAGGGAAATTTCAGTATAGTTCTTAAAAATAATGATATGGGCCAGGCGTGGTGGTATGTGCCTGTAATCCCAGCACTTTGGGAGGCTGAGGCAGATGGATCACCTAAGGTCAAGAGTTCAAGACCAGCCGGCCAGGTGCGGTGGCTCACACCTGTAATCCCAGCACTTTGAGAGGCTGAGGTGGGTGGACCATGAAGTCAGGAGTTCAAGATCAGCCTGGTCAAGATGATGAAACCCTGTCTCTACTAAAATTACAAAAAAATTAGCCAGGCATGGTGGCACACCCCTGTAATCCCAGTTACTCCAGAGGCTGGGGCAGAGAATTGCTTAAACCTGGGGGGGGGGCGGAGGTTGCAGCGAGCTGAGATCGCGCCACTGCACTCCAGCCTGGGTAACAGAGCGAGACTCCGTCTCAAAAAAGAAAAAAGAGTTCAAGACCAGCCTGGCCAACATGGTGAAACCCAGTCTTTACTAAAAATACTAAAAATTAGCTGGGCATTGTGGTGTGCGCCTGGAGGCATTCCCCAGAGCTGGAGGTGGGTCCTGAATCACCACAGGTCTCACAGGACATCCTGCTCTCCCCCGTGTCTGGAGTCTCTGATGGTCAGGCCCCAGTACCCAGCCAGGCCACCTCGGAGGAATGATCACAATGGCAGGTTTGGAAAGCGGCCCAGACATCAGAGATTTCTGTAATTCGAGATCATTGGGGTCGAGCTCCCAGGCACTGTCTCACTTCATTCCAAAAGTGTGAAACTGTGATATTAGGAATTTGAATGCAGCCAGTCCCTCCTGATCGCCAGCGCCTGTCCTTTCAGGAGGGTGACACAGGCCACTCCGCATCAGGGTGGATAACTCTGTGACCTGTTTTTTAACCCTTGATATTTACCGACTTTGGTCAGTTCACTAATCCCCAGTCTCAAATTTGCAAAAGTAAATGCTATGCCCTTTTCATAGAGCTGTCATCCATAAAAGCTGCCACTGTGTTCCCTCACTCTGTCCCCCAATGAGCCCTGCAGTGGGTGGCCTGCTGCCACGCTGGGAGGTGCTCTGAGGACAAGCCCATATGTGCTGGTGACAGCTGCAGGCCCTTCCCTCTGTGGTCCTGCCTGGCTGCTGGTCCAGAGCCCCTTCCCCAGCCCAGGATGGCTCTCCATCCCTTTGGATGCCTGAGAGAGCAAACACTTGGCCTCACATCACCAGCAGTTGTGGGCTGGCTGGACGGTGCTGAGAGCAGGAAGGAAAGAGAGGCAGAGGGCATCTGAGCCTGGATTCCTGCTCTTTCTGCCCGCTCTGCCCTGGATCCACACCTCCTCCCAGCCCCCATCCAATAGGCACAGTCAGAAAGGGAAAGGGAAAAGAGGAAGGAGGGATGCAAGGACCAAAGTGGCACACTTTGGGTACCACAAAGTGATGAGGCTGCACCCCAAACCACCACCACCATAACCATCTGCTGTGGACTGTGTGTTCGTTTGTCTGCCACTGTGTCTGGCTCTCTGTATAAATTATCTCACACGCAGCAGCGGGTCACAGCCCAGCTCATGCCTCCCCTCTCTTCTCTGCTGCCCCCTCGCAGTCATGCAAATTCATTGTCCATCTTAAAAATACGGCTGAAATGGGGAGCATGTCTCTTCAAATATCAGTCTCTTAATTCAAAGATGTGCAAAGACACAGTTCGTACACAACGTTTCACTCTATTATTTCTGCATTGTTGTCTTTTTGTAAAGTTATGTGTTCATAATAAACCGTTTTTTAATGTTATGGTTTGGTTTTTCGTTTTTTTTTGTTGTTGTTGTTTTGAGACAGAGTCTTCTCTGTCACCCAGGCTGATATGCAGTGGCATGATCTCGGCTCACTGCAATCTCTGCCTCCTGGGTTCAAGCCATTCTCCTGCCTCAGCCTTCCAAGTAGCTGGGATTACAGATGCCCGTCACCACGCTTGTCTAATTTTTGTATTTTTAGTAGAGACGGGGTTTCACCATGTTGTCCAGGCTGGTCTTAAACTCTTGACTTCAGGTGATCTACCTGCCTTGGCCTCCCAAAGTGCTGGGATTACAGGTGTGAGCCACTGCACCCAGCCTTGTTTGTTTTATTGAAATCACCGTAGCAGGCTTTGAGTGCCTATTAGTGACTCACTTTCACTGAGGAAGAGGTGGATTTTAGGTCTGAGACACAGCACCTGCCCTCGACAAGCTCACAAACTTGTAGGAGGGATAGGCTTAGACCTGTTGACCACGTGTAGGAAGGACCAGGCATAGCTCCTAGGGAGGAGGCTGCCCATAAGGGGCTCCTCTTGTCCAAAGTGAAATGGCTCGTATGACGCAGTCTCCATTGTTCTGAAATCTGCCTCTAAAGAACCCAGAAAATGCTGTCCTGCAAGAGGATTCCTTAGGTAATGACTTGAGTCCATGAGTTCTCCTAGAAGCATTTCTCAAGTTAGACTGAAGAAAACATTTTCTTTTGAGCCATACTTCCTTTCACTGGTATAATCCTATATAGGTAACCAAAGCCCTTTTACTGGTATCATCTACTTTTATTCTTACAACCACCTTAGGGAGTGGGTAGGAAAAAAAACCCTACTCTAAACCCATCTCACAAATAAAGGAAATGACAAAGGTAGTGAGTGGTGAATTTTGGGAAAGAAAATCTGTTCCTTGTCCAGAAATTCATTTATTCATTTATGTGTGCATCCACCCATGCATCCATCCATGCATCCATCCATGCATCCATTCATCTACCCACCCACCCATCCACGCATTCAACCATCTATCCACCCATCCACCCATCCACACTTTCACCCATCCATCCACCCATCCATCCATCTACCCACCCATCCGCCCATTCAACCATTCATCTATCCACCCATCCATCCATCCACCCACCCATCCGCCCATAGTTAAGCCGTTTATCCACCCATCATCCATCTACCCACCCATTCATCCATTCAACCATTCATCTATCCACCCGTCATCATCACCACCCATCCCACGCATTCAACCATCTATCCACCCATCCACCCATGCACACTTTCACCCATCCATCCACCCATCCATCCATCTGCCCACCCATTTCATCCATTCAACCATTCGTCTATCCACCCATCCATCATCACCACCCATCCGCCCATTCAACCATTTATCACCATCCAATCATCTACCCACCCATTCATCCATTCTTCATTCATCTATACCATCATCCATCATCTATCCATCCATCCGTCCACCCACCCATCCACCCATTCAACCATTTATCCACCATCCTCCATCTACCCACCCATTCATCTATTCAACCATTCATCTATCCACCCATCCATCCACTCGTCTATCCACATCCATCCAGCCAGCCACCCCACCCATCCCACCCGGTAACCACATTTATCCACCATTAAGCCATCCATCTACTCGTATTCCATCCATCACCTTCACCTATCCATTATTGCATACATCATTCGTATCCATATGCCTGTATTGGTCATCCACCTATCCATTCGCCCACCCATCCACCATCCACATTCATCCAACCATCCATGCTCCATATATGTGTTGGGTGGGTCCCTATCTACCAGTCCCAGGGCTATATCCTGGAGGACGAAGGAGGCCCTAGCTTTCAAATAACTCCCAGTCTGGAATGTTTGGATCCTGGAGGTTATGGCAGTGGCTCATTTTCTCCTTAACAACTCAATGTTATTATCTTACCCAAATACAATCTGAGGACAGGCAAACAGGCAGCAGATTCCTTTCGTTGGATTTGGAGTGTGGGTGCAGCTGCAAGTGGTAAGGCACAGAGGAGAATGCTGGTGTCCCATAAGCCCCTGAGGCTCACCACACTAAGTGCTGAGTCGTAAATTGTATCAAATGTAGTGCCTGAGCCTTTAGTCAATCCTGTGAGAGGATTTCTGGTCTCTCCCTCAACACTAAGAGGTAGCAAATCTTCTCTTGATGGATTAATGGATCTAAGAGTCACGAGGGCTCCTGATTTACAGCCTGCATTCACGTCTGCCCTCTGCATAGCCTGGCAGAATCTTAGAGGAAAGTTCCTGGGCAGCGGGGTCAAGTAAAGGTTGTTATTTTAAAGAGAGGGGAGAACGCTGTGTCAACACAGAAAGGATGTCACGAAGAATGGGACTTGGCAGTTCTCTGCAGTGGGAAGGAGGGTCAGTTCTCTGCCTTACCAATCCAGTCACTCATCCCTTTCAGAGCTCAGACTCTGGTGAACAGACTCATAATAACCCAACTCACAAGAGACTGAATGACAGCAATGTGCTTCTTCCTAGTAGGAGGGAGGTTCCCAGATCTGCAGCCAGGGCCTCCATCCTGCAGTAGGTCATCCCTCCTGGAGCCCTGCCAGGAAAGAAGAGCCTCTCATGTATGTTACCACATGTAAGCCTCTTACAGCCAACTCCTTAAGGAGCTATGACTGAG